ATACTGCTCAAGGGAACCATACACCAACAAGACTTAACAATCTAAAATATATATGCCCCAAACAATGGTGCAGCTATGTTCATCAAACAAACTCTTCTCAAGTTCAAGAGTCAAATAGACCACAGCAAAATAATTTTGGGTGACTTTAAGACACCTTTTTCATCACTAATTAGATCTCCCAAACAAAAACTAAACAAAGAAACTGTAGAACTCAATAATACAATCAATAACTTAGACTAAACTGACATATATAGAATATTTCATCCTTCAATGAGAGAATATACTTTCTTCTCAGGAGCACATGGATCCTTGTCTAAAACAGACCATATACTATGCCACAAAGCAATCCTTAGCAAGTACAAAAAAGTAGAGATAAGATCCTGCATTCTATCAGATCATAATGGAATGGGATTAGAAATCAATTATAAAATAAGAAATAAAATCCACTCCAACACCTGGAGACTAAATAATATGCTACTGAATGAACAATGAGTTGCAGAAGATATCAAGGAGGAGATTAAAAAATTTTTGCAGGTGAATGAGAACACAGATACAACATATCAAAATCTTTGAGACACTATGAAAGCAGTTCTAAGAGGAAAGCTCATTGCATAGAGTTCATTCCTTAAAAGAAGAAAAAGTCAACAAATAAATGACTTAATATTACATCTCAAAGCCCTAGAAAAAGAACAAATCAACACCAAAAGCAGCAGAAGACAGGTAATAATTAAAATCAGAGCTGAAATCAATGAAATTGAAACAAAAGAAACAATTGAAAAAATTGACAGAACAAAAAAATACAAAAAGTTGTTTTTTTGAAAAAATAAATAAAATTGACAGACCCTTAGCCATGCTAATGAAGAGAAGGAGAGAGAAAACTCAAATCACTAACATACATGTTGAGAAAGGGAATATCACAACAGACACTACAGAAATACAGAAGATAATTAGAAATTATTTTGAAAACTTGTCCTCTAATAAAATAGAAAATACTGAAGGCATTGAAAAATTCCTAGAGTCATATAATTTGCCCAAATTGAATCAGGATGAAATACACAATTAAACAGATCAATTTCAAGCAATGAAATAGAAGACACCATCAGAAGCCTACCAACCAAGAAAAGCCCAGGACCCGATGGATACACAGCCAAGTTCTACAAGACCTTTAAAGAAGAACTAATACCAATACTCTCCAATTTATTTCAGGAAATAGAAAAAGAGGGAGCAACTCCAAACTCATTCTATGAGGCCAATATCACCCTGATCCCCAAACCAGGCAATGACACATCATAAAAAGAAAACTTCAGACCAATATCTCTAATGAACATAGATGCAAAAATTCTCAATAAAATTCTGGAAAATTGAATATAAAAACATATCAAAAAGATTGTGCACCATGATCATGTGGGATTCATTCCAGCAATGCAAGTTTGGGTCAACATATGGAAATCAATAAATGTAATTCATCACATCAATAGACTTAAAGATAAGACTCATATGATCATCTCAATAGATGCAGAAAAAGCACTTGACAAAATATAGCACCCCTTCATGTTCAAAGCAAAAACTAGGGATAACAGGAACATATCTCAACATCATAAAGGCTATCTATGCTAAGCCCCAGGCAAATATCATTCTAAAAATGGAAAAAAATTGAAGACATTCCCTCTAAAAAGTGAAACAAGAGAGGGATGCCTTCTTTCACCACTTCTATTCAACATAATTCTTGGAACACTGGCCAGAGCAATTAGACAGACAAAAGAAATTAAAGTGATACACATAGAAAAAGAAGAATTCAAATTGGCACTATATGCTGATGATATAATTCTATACCTAGAAGACCCTAAAAGTTCCACTAGAAAACTTCTAGAACTAGTAAATGAATTCAGCAAAGTAGCAGGATATAAAATCAATACCCATAAAACAAAGGCATTTCTGTATATCAGTGACAAATCCTCAGAAAGGGAAATGAGGAAAACTACCCCATTTTCAATAGCCTCAAAAATAAAATGAAATAAAATAATCAACCTAACAAAAGAGGTGAAAGATCTATGTAATGAAAATTACAGAACCTTAAAGAAAGAACTCAAAGAAGACCTTAGAAGATGGAAAGATCTACCTTGCTCTTGGATAGGCAGAATTAATATTATCAAAATGAAAATACTTTCAAAAGCACTATACAGATTTAGTGCAATTCTGATTAAAATTCCAATGACATTCCTCATAGAAATAGAAAAAGCAATCATGAAATTCATCTGGAAAAATAAGAGACCCAGAATAGCTAAAGCAATCCTTAGCAGGAAGTGTGAAGCAAGTGGCATCACTAAACCAGAACTTAAACTATACTACAGAGCAATAGTAACAAAACCAGCATGGTATTGGCACCAAAATAGGCTGGTAGACCAATGGTACAGAATAGAGAACACAGAGACTAACCCACAAAACTACAATTATCATATATTAGACAAAGGTGCCAATAACATGCATTGGAGAAAAGATAGCCTCTTCAACAAATGGTGCTAGGAAAACTGGAAATCCATATGCAACAAAATCAAATTAAACCCCTATCTCTCACTATGCACAAAACTCAACTCAAAATGGATCAAGAACTTAGGAATAAAACCAGAGACCCTGCGCCTAATAGAAGAAAAAGTAGGTCCTAATCTCCATCATGTGGGATTAGGCCCCAACTTCCTTAATAAGACTCCTTTGCCAAAGAATTAAAATCAAGAATCAATAAATGGGATGAACTCAAAAACAGTTTCTTCTTCACAAAAGGAACAATCTGTGAGGTGAATAGAGAACCTACATCTTGGGAGCAAATCTTTAGCCCTCACACATCAGATACAACACTAATCTCTAGAGTATATAAAGAACTAAAAAAGCTAACCACCAATAAATAAATAAATAAATAACCCAATCAATAACTTGGTCAAGGACCTGAAGAGACAATTCTCAGTAGATCAACAAATACATTTTAAAAATGTTCATCATCACTAGCAATTAGAGAAATGCAAATCAATATCACTCTGAGATTTCTTCTCACTCCAGTCAGAATGGCAGCTATTATGAAGACAAACAACAATAAGTATTGGTGAGGATGTGGGGGAAAAGTCACACTCATACATTGCTGGAGCTGCAAAGTGGTGAGTCAATATAGAAAGCAGTATGGAGATTTCTTGGAAAATTGGGAATGAAACCACATTTGACCCAGTTGTCCCTCTCCTTGGTCTATACCCAAAGGACTTAAAAACAGCATACTACAGGAACACAGCCACATCAATGTTTATAGCAGAACAATTCACAATAGCTAAACTGTGGAAGCAACTTAGATGCCCTTCAGTGGATGAATGGATAAAAAAATGTGGCATATATACACAATGGAATATTACTCAGCAATGAAAGAGAATAAAATCATGGCATTTGCAGGTAAATGGATGGAGTTAGAGAAGATAATGCTAAGTGGAGTTAGCCAATCCCCAAAAAGCCAAATGCCAATTCTTTTTATATAAGGAGGCTGATTCATAGTGGGATAGGGAGCGGGAGCATGGGAGGAATAGATGAACTCTAGATAGGGCAGAGGATTTGAAGGAGAAGGGAGAGGGCATGGAGTTATTAATGATGGTAGGATGGGACGATCATTATTATCCAAAGTACAGGAATGTGTTGAGAGCCACAGCCAAAGGGGCCCCAGCAAACTTCCAGCTGCCAGCAAACTTCCAGCTGCTGGCTGATGATTGGCTCACAGCGGCCCCAGCAACATCTAGCTGACTGGCTCCTCCATGGAGCTGCTCATTGGGGGACTTCTTTGGCTCCACCCACGCAACCCAGCCAATCGGCCTCAAGAGCAGGAGGATTGTGGGAGGTGGAGAGGCTTGAGTGGGGTGAGAGGCTTGTGGGAAGCCGGTGGTGGCAGTTGGGCTCTGAGGGTTTTTTCCTGAGGAGCTGTTTTGTTTGGCGTTTGTAGTTCTAAAAATAAAGTTAGTTTCTTTTGACAAGTGGCTCCTGAATTGTGCCCAGCCAGACTGCGGCAGGAATGAAGACACAAATTGGTGTAAATATACTATGTACACAACCAGAGATACGAAAAATTGTGATATATATGTGCAATAAGAATTATAATGCATTCTGCTATCCCATATAATTAAAAAAATAAAATAAAAAATAATTTATTGACAAAATAGAAGAAATAAAATAAAAAATAATTTATTGACAAAAGAAAAGAAAAGAAAAGAAGGTTTTTATTTTAATAAAGTCCAGCTTATCAATTATTCCTTTAATGGATCCAAACTTTGGTGTTTTGTCTAAAAAGTTGCCATACCCAAGTCCCCTAGATGTTCTTCTGTTATCTTGTAAGAATTTTAGACTTTTGCATTTTAAACTTAGAACTATGTTCCAGTTAGAGTTAGTTTTTTATGAAATGAGTGAAGTCTGTGTCTAGATTCTTCTTGCTTCTAGATATCCACTTGTTCTAGCACCATTTGTCAGAAGTATATCTGTGCTCCATGAATTGCCTTTGCTTCTTTGTCAAAGATCAGCTGACTCTATTTGTGTGGGGCTATTCCTGGGTTCTCTGTTCTGTTTCACCAATCTAGTTGCATATGCATTTGCCAGTGCCACACTGTCTTGATATCAACAGCTCTATAGTAATTCTTCAAGTCAGGTAATGTCAGCCCTATGACTTTGATCTTCTCCTTCAATATTGTGTTGTGAAGTCTAAGTCTTTTGCATAAGTTTTATATAAACTTTAGCATAAGTTTTTTGAGATCCACAAAATAATTTACTGGGTCTTTGATTGAAATACCATTGAAAATATAGACCAAGAAAGGCATGGTGGTACATGCCTGTAATACCAGCGGCTCAGGAGGCTGAGACAGGAGAATCGTGATTTCAAAGCCAGCCTTCCGCAATAGCGAGGTGCTAAGCAACTCAGTGAGACCCTGTCTCTAAATAAAATACAAAATACGACTGGGGATGTGGCTCCGTGGCTGAGTGCCCCTCAGTTCAGCCCCACCCCCCAAAAGAAAATAGAGACCAGGATGTTAAAAATTGACATCTTGATGAGACTGAGTTTTCCTGTCTCTAAACACAAAATATCTCTCCATTTATATTTGATGTAATTCATCAAAGTTTTATAGTTTTCCTCATTCAAATCTTGCATTTATTTTGTTAAATTATATCTAGGTATTTTGTTCTTTTAAATGCTACTGTCAATAGTATTGTATTTTTAATTTCAAATTCCAATTATTCTTTATTGTGATATAGAAAAAAGTGGCTAACTTTTGTATGTTAACTTTATACTGTGCAAACTTGCTTTAATTGATTATTAATTCTAACAGTTTTTTGGTTAATGCTTTCGGATTTTCTCCATAGAGAAGTATATCATTTGTGAACAGTTTTATTTCTTCTTTACCAATAAGTAGGTATTCTTTCTTTCTTTCCTTTTTTATTTTTATTTTTTCTTATCCTATTCCATTAACTAGAGTGTACAGATGTTGAAAAGAAGTGAAGAGAAGGAATATCCTTGCCTTATTCCTGGTCTTTGTAAGAAAGCTTCTAGTTTCTTGCCATTAACTAACATTAAGTAGAATTTTAGTTAGCTGTAGGGTCTTGGTAGATGACATTTATCAAATTGAAAATATTCCTTCTATTGCTACCTTGCTGAGAGTTTATATCCTGGTGTTGGATTTTGTCAAGTTCTTCTTCTGCATTTATTATACGACCACGTAATTGTAATTTTTCTTTGTGACCTATTGACATTATGGATTACATTGAATTGATTTTTGAAGTTGACCTGGCTTTGTATACATGAAATAAATCCAACTTGGTCATTGTCTCAGTCAGCTCGGGCTGCTATAACAAAGTACTATAGATGAGTGGCATAAACAACAAACACTTATTTCTCACAGTTTTTGGAAACTTAAGAATCCAAAATTCAAGTGTTAACATTGCCATGTTCCGGTGAAGTCCCTTTTCCAAGTTGTAGATAGCTGTTGTCTCCTTGTATACTTATTTGGCAGGAAGAGAACTTGGGAGCTCCCTGGACTCTATTTTATAAGGGCACTAATCCCTTTGGTGAGTATTTTATCTTCATGATCTAAATTACCTTCTTAAGGTAGAATTTAAAAATATGAATTTCAAAGGAAACAAACATTCATCTGTAATAGTCATAATGTGTAATTCTTTTTCTACCTTTTTGGATTTGATTCACCATTTTTGAGGATTTTTTGCCTTCATGTTCGGGAGAGATATTTGTTGTTAGCCTTATTTTCTCATAATGTCTGTCTGGTTTGGGTATTAGGGTACATTGGCCTTATAGAACTAGTTTAGAAGTATTCCTTCTGCTTCCATTCTCTGTAAGAGATTGAAGGGAATAGATATAATTTCTCTCAAACATTTGATAAAATTCGTCAGTGAATCCATTGAGCTTGGTATTTTCTGTGAAAAGTCAATTAATTTTTTCTTATATAAAATCAATTTTATTTTTATTTGTTCTTTTTAATTATACAGGACAATAGAATGTATTTTGATATATCACATATACATGAAGAATAACTTCCCATTTTTGTGGTTGTACATGATGCAGAGTTACACTGGTTATATATTCATATATAAGCATAGGAAAGTTTTGTCAGATTCATTCTATTCTTTCCTATTCCCAATCCCCCATCCTTCCACCAACTCCTCCCTGTCCAATCCGGTGAACTTCCACTCCTCACCCTATTATGAGTTAGCATCTGCATATCAAAGAGAATATTTGGGCATTTGTTTTTTGGGGGGATTGGCTTCTTTTACTTAGCATGATAGTCTCTTCTTCCATCCATTTACTGGCAAATGCCATAATTCCATTCTTCTTTATGGCTAAGTAATATTCCATTGTGAAATATGTATCACATTTTCCTTATTCATTTATCTATTGAAGGGAACCCTAGTTCCATAGTTTAGCTATTGTGAATTGAGCTGCTATGAACATTGATGTGACTGCATCACTGTAGTATATTGATTTTAAGTCCTGTGAGTAAAGACTGATTAGTGGAATAACTGAGTTGAATGATGGTTCCATTCCAAATTTTCTGAGGAATCTGCATACTGCTTTCCAGAGTGGTTGTACCAATTTGCAATCCTACCAAATCCTTGCCAACATTATTGTTACTGATATTCTTTATAATTGCCATCTGACTAGAGTGAGATGGAATCTCAGTGTGGTTTTAATTTGCATTTCTCTAATTGCTAGTGATGATGAACATTTTTTCCATATATTTATTGACAAATCATATTTCTTCTGTGAAGTGTCTTTAATTCCATTTCTTTAGTAGATATGGCCTTTTTAGATAGTCTGTTTCTTCTTTTGTGTTTTGGTAGATGGTATCTTTCAAAGAATTGGTCCATTTCATCTAAGTTTTCAAATTTGTAGGCATAAAGTTATTCATAATGTTCCTTTATTATCTGTTTAACATCTCTGAGATCTGAAGCAAAGTTTCTCCCTTTCATTTCTGATGTTAGTAATTTGTGCCCTATCTTTTTTCTAAGACTGGCTTATTGATTTTATTTATATTTTCATGATACTGGCTATTGTTTTTTTGTTGGTTTTCTCTATTAATTTCCTGTTTTCAATTTCATTCATTTCTGCTCTACATTTTATTATTCCTAACTTTCTCCTTACTTGGATTTCATTTACATTGTTTTTCTACTTTCCCAAGTTGAAAGCTTAGCTGACTAATTTCAGATCTTTATTTATTCTAACATATGCACTCAACACCAAAAATTTCCCTCTTAAGAACTGATTTCTCAATATTGCATGAATTTGTTACATTTTCATTTTCATTTAGTTCAAAACATATTTTAATTTCTCTTCAGATTTCTTTAACATGCATTATTCAGAAATGTGTTGTGTAATCTCCACATATTTTGGGATTTTCCATAATCCTTATGTTATAGATTTTAGCTTAATTCTGTATAATCTTCAGAGTGAACAATAAATTATTCCTATATTCTTAAATTTGTTTAAGTATGTTTTATACCCAGAATGTAGTCTATTTTGGTGACTATTTCATATGAGCATAAGAATGTGTTCTCCTGTCATTGGATGAAGTAGTCTATAGATGCCCATTTTCTTCAGTTGAGTTCAACGGTGTACACTGACTTTCTGCCTACTAGATCTGCTCATTTTTTTAAAATAAACAAGTGGTGAAGTCTCCAACTAGAATAAAAAATGGATTCATTTATTTGTCCTTGAAGTTCTATCAGTCTTCTTCTCATGTAGTTTGATGCTCTGAGTTATTAGGTGCATACACACCAAAAATTATTATGTTTTGTAGGAGAATTGACATCCTAATTGCTAGTTCCTTTCCTTTTCCCTAAAATTTTTTTCTGATTAATAATATGACATATTTATACTTTCTTTGTCTCTTTCTTTTATATATATATATATATAAAATATATTTCTCATAAACTGTATAATTGGGTCTTATTTTTTATCCCTCTGACAATTTCTTTCTCTTAATTGGTATATTTAGATTATTGACATTTAAAGAGCTTTTTGATGTAATTGGATATCTACTATATTTATTACTGGGTTTTATTCTTTGCCCTTACCCTTTGTTCCTGTTTTTGTCTTTTCACTCTTTTTCTGCTCTCATGGATTTAATTGAACATTTTCTATAATTCCATTTTATTTAAATATATTTTTTTCTCCTCCTTTTTCTTCTCCTTTCCTCCTCCTCCTCCTCCTCCTCTTTCTCCTTCTTTTTCTTTCTCTCCTTTTCCTTCTCATTCCTTTTTCAACTACTTTTAGAGATTGCCCTAGAATTTATAATATACATTTACAACTAATCTGAACTAAACTTTCAAATAACAAAAAACAAAATCATGAGTAATGTGATAGCTTATAGTTAAAAGATACTATTAATTCTTACCCTTGTTTATTGCTTTATTATTTTACTTACATATATGCATACATAATATGCACATACATCTACACAGGATCAAAGATGCCATTGATATTATTTTGAACAGTATGTTAATTGTTGGATCATTTACAAATAAGAAAAATAAGTTATTTCATCTTTACTTTTTCTTTCTTTGATTCTTTTTAAGGTAAAAATAAATATCTCACATATATGATTTTCCTTCTCTTTGAAGAACTTCTCTTAGTATTTCTTGCAAGACAAACCTACTGACAATAAATTCCTTCAATTTTTACTTGTCTTGAAAAAGTTTTTTTTCTTCTGCCCTTTTGAAGAGTAATTTTGCAAGGTGCAGAATTTTAGACCGGTTTTTAATTTCCTTTCTTTTTCTCCAACACTAAATATTTCACATTACTTTCCTACTTACAGAGTATCTTAAAAGTCAGATGTAATTATTTTCTATAGATGTGTGTGTGTGTGTGTGTGTGTGTGTGTGTGTGTGTGGTATTTATTGTTCCTGTTTTCAGAGATTCCAGAGTTCATTTTTTTGTTTGTTTGTTTGTTTGTTTTGTCTTATATTCATTTGGGAAAATCCTTAATGAATGTCACTTCAAATATTTCTTCTCTCCTTTTCCCCTTTTTTTTCCTGCATGCCCATTATTAATGTTCCACTTCCGCAGTTATGCCACAGTTCGTGGGTATGCTCTTTACTTTTCTGTCTTGGAAGAAGTTTCTACTCACATTTCCTCAAACACATAGATTCTTTCTTTCTTTCTTTCTTTCTTTCTTTCTTTCTTTCTTTCTTTCTTTCTTTCTTTCTTTCTTTCTTTCTTTCTTTCCTT